TCCTCTATTCGTACTTCGCAGCACACTGTAGGATGATGAGTAACATTGCACTTCTTCTTTTATTCGTCCGTTTCCTATAACAGTTTTAGGCTACTGTAGGGTAATAATATACTAAATAAATATAATAATTTAATTTTATTAAGTAGATATGTATAGGTATATAGGTAACAATTATTGATTCTTATCGAATAAATATTAAATTAATATTTTTTTACAGACTAACAATTGCTAGATATTTTACTTCATATAAATTTAAATGTCGACTTGCAACGGTCTATTAAATTACACATCTGCGGTTTACCATTAAATGTAAATGGATATAGCAGCCTGTACCATGAATAGTTCATACGTTATTATAGAAGCTGCCATCTGGAAAATAGAATATTTTTTAATATAAAATTAAATAATATTATCGAACGTTAATTTTTCGTACCTACCCTCCTACAAAAATATTTTACTGAAATTAGTATTTTTAGTAGGTAGATCAATACGATAATCTTATGAAAAATACTTTCGTAAGCGCCATGAAAATTATATTTTAATACACCTCGTATTATATTTCTTTCTATCAAAATAAAAAGGAAATCAATTATTGTGGCATACTCACTTGAAACAACAAACTCCTTGTGATGATAAAATACTGTCCTCCAGATAATGATGTGTTCTGGGTGTAAACTTGTAATATAAATCTCCGTGTCTAAAAGAAATACCTAATAGTTAAATAAATATATACTACTAGCTTTAGTTCTGCATAAAACGTTAAGCACTGAAAACATGGGAGGAATAAATAAAGAGTGATCTGTAAAAATTGTTTCTACAAGTGTAAATTAAAAATTTAAAAAAACCGACTTCAAAAACGTGCAGATGCCATCACCACATCTTAACCAAATTTATATGGGATCACCCCTGAGGTACCCCCTTACTAACAAAAAAAGAATCATATAAATCGGACAAGGTGGTAAAGCATTATCGCTAAACATACATAAAAAATGAAGAGTTTGAGGATTTTCTCATGGACTCAATTTTTAGATTTTGACCAAATTTATATAGGACCACCCCTGAAGTAGCCCCTTTCTAACAAAAAAAGAATCATTGAAATCGGACAAGGTTGTAAAGCATTATTGCTAAACATACATAAAAAATGAAGACTTTGAGGATTTTTTCATGGACCCAATTATTAGATTTTGACTAAATTTATATGGGACCACCCCTGAAGTAGCCCCTTTCTAACAAAAAAAGAATCATTGAAATCGGACACCGTGTTAAAGAATAATCGCTGAACATACATAAAAAAAAAAAAAAAAAAAATATCGCGACGAATTGATAACCTCCTCCTTTTTTGAAGTCGGTTAAAAATAGACTCGAAAGTAGTTCATGATTGACAAAGACAGAGGTGTACAAGTTATGTCCAGGACAATGGTGTCGCAGGAAAATTCAGGCCTATAAAAAATTTAAATATATATCTACATATAAAATTAGTTGCCCAAAGCATAGTATTGAAAACCAAACGAGATAATATTGATTCAATTTTCGAAGAAGTCAAAAAATTGACATTTCGATACACCTTCCTAGAGTCAATTTAAGACCAATAAATAGGTCAAATGTTGTTACTAATAATCCTGAAGAATATTACAGAATTACCATATTCATCTCTTTGCTACATAATGTTGAAACTTTAAAATTGTTATACTTTACATTTGTTTGAAGTAAATCGAAAAATTGAAAAATCGAAAAATCGAAAAATCGAAAAATCGAAAAATCGAAAAATCGAAAAATCGAAAAATCGAAAAATCGAAAAATCGAAAAATCGAAAAATTGAAAAATCGAAAAATCGAAAAATCGAAAAATCGAAAAATCGAAAAATCAAAAAATCGAAAAATCAAAAAATCAAAAAATCGAAAAATCGAAAAATCGAAAAATCGAAAAATCGAAAAATCGAAAAATCAAAAAATCAAAAAATCAAAAAATCGAAAAATCGAAAAATCGAAAAATCGAAAAATCGAAAAATCGAAAAATCGAAAAATTGAAAAATCGAAAAATCAAAAAATCGAAAAATCGAAAAATCGAAAAATCGAAAAATCGAAAAATCGAAAAATCAAAAAATCGAAAAATCGAAAAATCGAAAAATCGAAAAATCGAAAAATCGAAAAATCGAAAAATCGAAAAATAAATCGAAAAATCGAAAAATCGAAAAATCGAAAAATCGAAAAATCGAAAAATCGAAAAATCGAAAAATCGAAAAATCGAAAAATCGAAAAATCGAAAAATCGAAAAATCGAAAATTCGAAAAATCAAAAAATTGAAAAAACGAAAAATCGAAAAATCGAAAAATCGAAAAATCGAAAAATCGAAAAATCGAAAAATCGAAAAATCGAAAAATCGAAAAATCGAAAAATCGAAAAATCGAAAAATCGAAAAATCGAAAAATCGAAAAATCGAAAAATCGAAAAATCGAAAAATCGAAAAATCGAAAAATCGAAAAATCGAAAAATCGAAAAATCGAAATATCGAAAAATCGAAAAATCGAAAAATCGAAAAATCGAAAAATCGAAAAATCGAAAAATCGAAAAATCGAAAAATCGAATAATCGAAAAATCGAAAAATCGAAAAATAAATTCCGTAACGAAAATAAACCTAACACCCCCCCACTCCGACCGGCACAGGCGTTCAAAGCCGTGCATCGTCTAACGTCGTTTCAGTTCGGCAGACTTTGGCAGTGTTTGTGTGCGTGCGACTAGACGTATGCGTGTAGACTAGCTGCTAACTGCTCATAACTGATTCTATCTCTTTTAGACACAATTTTGGAAAAATTGAATTTGAAAATGAAATGATTCACAAGAATCCACAACAAAATATGGGACCACCATTGCCGCGGTATTTTCCAGATATTTAGAGAATATCAAGTCTCAAACTTATGTTTCTTATTTCAGTCACCATAAACCTATAGTTTCAATGATAAAAATTCCTGAATAACCTACGTATATTGTAAGATAATAAAAATATTTTAATAGTATATTACAAACCTCGGTAGGAAGTTTCATTCCTGTCTCGAGATCATAGCTAACCTCGACGCTTCGCGTCTCGGTGATCTAACTAATCTCATGACAGGAATGAAACTTCCTACTGAGGTTTGTATACTATTTTATTTACAACCATCATATTTCGATCAAAGTTAATAAATCTCTGTTTTGTTCTGAACATACCTAAAATTTTACATTTAACGACAAATTACCAAGCGCACGGTTTTCTCAGAATAATCAAGTAGGTAAATATATTGTTACTGTGATTACGGGATAAACAACTGTCACCAATATAAATAAGTGTCAGATAAAGCCGGATATTAAATTCGCGAATAATAAATATCAATAAGTAGTTTGTTATATTTTAGACCATTGTTGTTTTTTATTGTTTGCCATTAAATAAGTATTATAAAATTTGTCAAACACTGTGTTATTTTTTTTTTAAACAAAAAATATTCATCTAGAATAGATGAAATGAGGGCGGGAAGTAGAGGTGTGTAATGTGACACTTCCCAACCTTCAATGACGTTAGTAATGACAACATTACATATATGGTTGTAAATAAACAATATTAACTTCTCATTTATTCAGTAAAGGAAAAACAATGTTTTCTTATCGGTTACCACGCTCAAAAAGTGTAAACTTGAATTAATATCAAAGAAAATAAAATACTTCATAAATAAAATAAATAAATAATTATTATTGCATAAGTTAATAAAAAATGCTATGCAATAGCTTTACCGCGGCAGTCCCCGAGTGCCACTCGTATTTTTTTCTTTATTTTTAATCAATCCTACTACCGCACCTTTAATAAATACGTTTTCTCTACTTAATTTTTTTAGAATTTTGAAAACGGTATTGACACTTTCTGAATTAAATAAGTACACAAAAGATACTAAAGAGATTTTAGTTTCATCAATTTTATACTTTGTTGGTAATTTGTTTGGCTTGCGTTTTCTTCCTCTTGATAGTCTTTGTCTTATAGGGCAACTGATACCCATCTATCGAATAGTTTAAATTTAGAATATGTATGAGATTCACCAATGAAAAGATTTAAAATATGAAAAAGAAAACGGAAAATGACGTAACAATGTTATATTTTTGTGCAAAAGAACGTTGCCAGTGAGCGATATTTGACCAACGATTTAAAAAGAAACGGCATATAGGTGCCTACTTACTTCAATATTAAAAGCCTCATTTTTTATGGAAACCAGATAACTTAGAGGCTTTTTGGATTGGGAATGTACCATTGAACCGTGGATGATTACACAAATCGTCCTTAGTAATAACACTCCGAAAGAATAAATGAAATAACATTGGTCCACAATTGTTTGTCTTGTTCTAAAAATAAAAACATTAATTCATGTGCTAAATTATTATTATACAATATATATACAATAAGCAGTTGACGAAACCAAAATGTAAACGACAAACTTTAATGGTGCGATTAGATTTTGCATCATAGTCGTTCGTCGCATTCAAATTTGCAATATCTTTAAAAATTATTGTTAAATAAATAAAAATAAATGCAGTAGCAATTATCTAAGGTTCGAAAGTCAAGGACTATAGCAAAATTAGAAGAACATTGGAAAAACAGTGGAATGGCTGCTGAATTAAATGTTAGTAAAAGTTACATACTTTAGGAAACACTGGCAAGAAGAACACAGATTGCCAAGACTTTTTAGACATGGTGCAGGGAAAGGGTCCGTCAAAATACTTTTGGAACTACTGTGGAAGCTCGAGAAGAAACATTATTCCCAGGATCTCTCAGAACAGCTCAAATACCAAGTTAAAAAAGTTTTTTAACAGCAGAAAATAAGCGTAGTAATTTCCAATTTCCAAATGAATTTTTAATTCACGGGGAAGAATTTTGGAAAAATATGGTGGTATTCTCTAATTAAAATTCAGAGAAAATATATGGGGCTTCAAATTCAAAAAGATATACCAAAGAGACTTTAGCCGGACAAACTGCGATCAACTATGGGAAGTTATTGAAAATGCTTGGGAAGAGCTCGACATGCGACATTTAATTTTGTCCAAGCCAAGAAGATTATTAATAACACTATTCTTACTATAGCTGTTAAACTTCGAAGAGAGCATTGTCTTAGATACTTTCCCTACACCTTGTCTAAAAGCTTTTCGCAATCTTTGTTGTTGGTGCCAGCATTTAACGTTAAATATGCAACTTCTACTGACATTTAATTCAGCACCAACTTCAAGACATAAAGACCGATTTTTGTCCAATTTTGCCTTTAATGTTAATTTAATTTTGCTATATGCTTCCCAAGTAACACACAATGTTATACAGGATGTTGAAATTGAAAAAAACAATTCTACGCCACTGGAAAAAGTACGGTTTTGAGACGCCCATTTGAACCGAAAATGTTTTCTACACAAAAAAGGTACTCTTGGTCATACGCTGTAAAGTCGACCGTTTTCGAGAAAAATAAAATTTTGTTTCATCAAGTAGGTTTTAAATTTCAAAATTTGATTTTTCTCGAAAACGGTCGACTTCAGAGTCTCAGAAGGATATTTCAAAAAATATTTTCTTTATGAAAAGTGTGCTTTGGACTGTCAGATAATTGTGTCTGGTAAATGTCAGTTCTTGCCAATGAATTATTTTTGCTGTCAGATTATAGTCTATTGTTGCATTTTTTAAAGCCTTTTCGACTGAAATGCCTCGTCACAATCATTTTACGAATGAAGAAATGCGGGATATGGTTACAGTTCTGCCAACGTATTCTCAACAAACATAATGATGACCGAAATTTTATTAAAAATATTATGTTCACCGATGAAGCGACTTTTACTAGACGAGGTGTTTTTAATTATCGAAACAGTCATCACTGGGAAGAAGAAAACCCGCATGCTCGTAAAGAAAGACATTTTCAATATGAGTTTAAATTTAATATTTGGTGTGGCATTATAGGCGACCAACTACTAGGGCCATATCGTCTTCCTCCTAATTTAAATGGAGATTCCTATTTATTTTTTTGCAAAATACTTTAAGAGATATTTTGGATGATATGCCACTAGATGTAAGAAGGAAAATGTGGTTTATGCAGGATGGAGCTCCACCTCATTTCCCATTAGTTGTTAGAAATTATCTAAGTGACATATTTCCTCAACGTTGGTTTGGCAGAGGAAGTAATTTTGAATGGCCACCAATAAGTCCTAACTATAACCCTCTTGATTTTTATGTATGGGGACATATGAAGTCCTTAGTTTATACCCAGGAAATTAATTCACGAGACGAACTCTGGAGGAACATACAAAATGCGGGTAATTTTATAAGGGGACAGAATAATATTTTCTTTGCCATCCGAAAGTCCTTTATTAAAAGAATTAGAAAAGGCATAGAAGTCGGAGGAGGTCACATTGAACATTTAATTTAAGTTTGCTTTTTTTATGTTAAATTGTTTTTAATTTTGCTTTACCGTTGAAATAGAAGCCTTACGTTACAAGTTTTCTTATTGTGTTATTTGGAATCCCCTTCTGAGACACTGAACTGTTCAATTACGTTTTTCTAGAAAACAGGTGAAATTATCGTGTTTAAACAAGAGTACCAATATTACGTAGAAATAATTTTTAGATAATATTTTTTAATCAAAAGCACTAAAAAGTTTCGCCAAAAAAAGTTACCACCTAATTTCATCATCAGGAATCATTCACGTGGCGCCCCCTGTAACAAAATGTGAAATATTATATAAAATAATATTCCTTTATCAAAGATATGTCTTTGTGCCGATTTTGATAACAATTCATAAATAAACAGTGATATTATCAGAAAAAAAAAACGAAAAAAAAATTCAACTTTAACGCCCTGTATCTTATTCCACAGCCATATTTTATGAAGGTATATTTGGTCCAATCGCCATATTTTTGTCCAAATAACCTGCCCTTAGCCTATGTCCCAATAGTTATGAATCACCCTGTATAAATAATAAACTATAGATAAAACCAAATTATCTCTTAACAAGTTTTTATATCCATTTGAAATTATCTAATAAAATAATCTTTTTATAAAGTTGTAAAATGTATATTATTAGGTTGCATATGTCTACCAAAAGTCTCATAATCACATATAATAACGGTATAGTCGATTAGAATATTTAAGTAGTTGAGTTTTAAGAAAAGTTGAAGCAACGTCCGTATAATCCTTATACAACTTTTTGTGTTTAGGGTTTGATTTTCTATTATAATATGCAAACGCATTTTATAGTTCTATATGCCTAGATGTTAATTAATTAATTAATTAATTAATTAATTAATTAATTAATTAATAAACCTGGTTTTGTAATTTTATATTCTCTTATTTTTTTATTGCACAATGTAGATAAATAAGACAGATTCAAGAAAACGGCATTAATAAGACTAATATATTTAGTTTTTTCAAATCTCCAAGTATTATTCTTCATCTTTGGGGTTCGGGGATGATCTTAATAATTCGTTGGGGGATTTTTGAAATTTTTTCGGAATTTTCAATTTTTTTAAAACTTATTTCAGATATTTCTGACTTTTCGGATTTTGATTTGCGATCTAAGATATATTAAATTCACAATTTTCATATTTATTTTTGTTCTCAATATTCTTCCATCTTTTTGTAACACCACTGGCCAATGCCAGGCTTACCGAAACGATTTCAGTGAAAAATCCCATGACAACCAAAGAGCGTTCACATTTGGGTTGCGCCACATACTTTGATTACTATACGAGGCAAGAGAGAGGTCCGACACGCCAAACATAGGGCGCGGCCATTTTGAACCCTGTGACACAGTTTACAGCTAAATAATCAGATCGCTCACTCTGCGTCGGCACTTTGGATCTCAATGTTTCAGTTTATACACTGTGCAACTCGGATAATACAATATATGACAACCGCTTATAATAAAACAGCAGTCTTCTGCGTATCCTGAATTTGTATCCCTGGAGTGGATGTTATTTTGGAACTTTCAACTGGTCCGAGTGAGCTAACTGATTCTTTAGCAATAAACTGCGACTTCAAAAATAATATTCACTGACACTGACAGCAGCAAGCAAAATATCAGGTGCGTTTTAATCATCCGCTTCTGCTTCCGGAATTGTCGGTTTAGTCGTTTTAACCTGTCAGATTAAAACAAGAAAACTGACAATTCCGAAGCAGAAGCGGATGATTAAAACGCACCTATTAAAAATATTGCGCCAAGATGTAGGCAACATGTAATAAGGGTTCAAAATGGCGGAGTTTTCTATCTCATTTTGAAAGGCACTCAGAAAGCTGCGCAGTGCGACCATTCTCCGTATAGTAAAAGAAAATCAAAGTATGTGGGTTGCGCCCTGTTGCGCCGACTGAACGATAAATCATTGTTTTATGTTCTACGTTAAAACCTTAGAACATATAGGGACCATGCGTGAAATATAGAGGCAGCACTACTGCCGAAGTTAGCCCTCTCTAGTGTTTAATTTTAGAATTAAATGGGGTAAACATTGCAAGTAAATAATAAAGGATATTTTTTAAAATATTAAATATAGTTAAATATAGATACCGGCCCGTACCAAACAATCGAGTACATGGTCAAAATGATATTAAATGTAAAACATTAAAATCTGGACATGTATATACATTTTAAGCAAACAAATTTAAATGGCTAATTGACAATAAATTGTAAAGTTGTACCTTAAACAAGTGTATCCAATGTCAAAATATCGGTATTTAGTAACACTGAATTTAAAAGTATTACAATAACATTTAAAAAATGTAAATTAATAAAAAAGATTGGGAATAATAATAATAATAATTAGGCATTCCAAACAAATGAATTGCCAGTGGGAAGGTTTGGTATATATAAGGGTGGCGACATACGGTGTATTCTATCTACTTTACGTAAAATTATGAATAATGGATAACATTTAAATATTTTATGTCAAACAAAATAAAAATAATATTTAAAAAACCCACCTATATATTTTTTCATAAATTGGCAGGCTTGGCGAGTACTACTTCGAATAAAAATAGTGTCCAAGTTGCAAGACTATGTCGCTACCCCCCTTAAATATACAAGAATTTCCCACTGGCACCCTCAGCTGGCACCTATTGTTTGACAAGTCGTTGGAATGCCTAATTAGGCATTCCACACAAATGAATTACCAGTGGGCAGGTTTGGTATATCTAAGGGTGGCGACATATGGTGTATTCTATCTACTTTACGTAAAATCATGAATAATGGATAACATTTAAATATTTTATGTCAAACACAATAAAAATAATATTTAAAAAACCCACCTATACATTTCTTCATAAATTGGCAGGCTTGGCGACTACTACTTCGAATAAAAATAGCGTCCAAGTTGCAAGATTAAGTCGCTACCCCCTTAGATATACAAGAATTTCCCACTGGCACCTATTGTTTGACAGGTCGTTGGAATGCCTAATTCTTTTTAGCTTTATGTTAGTCGAAATGTCATTCATCCACTGACGTTTATGAGACGCCCAATGATATACATATTATAGATTGCTCACCCATCTATAAAAAAATTACGAAAAGCGGATTGCAATGTGCCTTTCCTAGTGCTCACTAAATAGAGCCATTCTAGCCCAAATATGTTTTAATATAAAATTTCAGAATTTTTATCTTTAGAAAAAGAAAATAATTAAAGTTTTACTTCAAGACACGTTATTATGTATTTGGAAAGTTGAGTTTCCATGTAGTTAAATAATATTAAGAGATCTAAACAATTTTTAAAACAGATGAATATAAATAATTTTAGACTACTCTCATTTCAGAAATAACACTACATAAAATACATAATTGCAATAAGAAATACAATTTTGAAAAGGAAATGTAAACAACTTTGAAATGAGATATAAACAACTTTGGTAAGAGTTGTAATTGGACACATCTATTATTCTGAATAATGTTTAATGGTAATGTCACTAAAAAAATTTACAAAAATCACTGGATTTTTAATATTTTAAGGTTTGTTGCAATCTCTTTTGATAGTACTTGTAATGTATTATTTATGATTTGTTTATTTTAGTAATAAATGAGAAATAGTTAATAAATTGTAAAGAGGGCTATGATATTTTTGTCAAATTGGACATACTTATTTCATAGTAACATTCTACATTAGTTTTAATCAACAGAATAAACCAATAATTATCTGTAAAATTATATTTATATAAAATGTTCATTTAAATATGTAAAAATCTTAATGACAAGAAAACACTAAAGATTCTAATTTCTAAACCGGTTCTGTAATATTGTAAGTTTTTCAGACGACACAATTATTAAAATGTAGAGAACTGGAATTGATTAAAATTATTAATAGAAATAGATCTTATTAAAATTTTGGGATGGTTTAATTATAAAAACTTACAAACCTTTGATAAAACTTATATTGTTCCAATATACAGTTACAAAAAGATGGCCTCTTCCTATAGAAACAATAAAAGGTAACGTTCAGTAGTTTCATATAAGTATTACAAATGATATCAAATACCTTAGAGTACAAATTGATTTTCATCATAAGTGGACTAAGCATACAAATAATGCGTTAAATGTACATTTAAAAATAATCTATTGTGCACTCATAGAATCATTATTACGTTATAGGACCCTTTCTTGGAAAGGTGTTTTACCTGCTCATGCAAAATTGTCCCACAAAAAATATTACTAATAATATTATGTAATAAAATGATCAGAAATTCTCTTCGATATTAGGAAGTTTTATATGTACTCCAACAAAAACATCTAGCGGTGTTTGACCTAAATATGAGTATAGGATATTTCATTTTTTTTAACGCATATCTACAAAACATATTTATTTTTCAAACCTTAATAATTTGTAAAATGTAGATTAATATATTTTTTAATACATTATTGCTTTGATTTTTCAATGAAATCCCTCTATAAATTATCCCAAAAAAATTTTCCTATATTTATCCCACCCAACATGCAATTTTAAAGTAAAATTTATTCACATAATGAAGGTTAATAAAAAAAATGCAAACTTCTCGCAAGATAATAGCAATTTGTTAAAATGAGAAAAATCGGTAAATTTAGATAATGCAAATGAGAATTTATTATTTTCTTTTCTACGCCCCTTTATGATAGTACGTCACTGGTAGACCGGAAACACTTGTCGCCATATTCGTTTAGTTCACTGTCAAAATTATGTATACAGGTTCGGAATTTTCCTTACGGAAAATTCACCTTACAATAAGTTGAACAAGGTATAATAGGAACACGTATACATATATCAGGCAGATACAGTTGTCGTTCGTCGCACATTAATATAAATATCTAATGTATGAGTTGGGGAGAGCAGAAGTCGTATCGATGTTCACTAACAGCGATATTTTTCTGTTATTTCCATCTTCCTTTTAAACTTTGTTCAACTCATTTTTAGACATACATTCCGTGTTTAAAATACCGTACTTGTATTTTTAAATTAAACACAATTTTTGGAATATCTAAATTTTTAGACTCCATGACAAAACTGCGCAGAACAAAATAGTGCAGGACAAAAAATCGCAAGACAAAATGGCGCAAGACAAAAAAGCGCGTTGAAAATATTCCATAATCTAATTTAAATTTAAAAAAACTTAATTTACGTAACCTGACTGGCCTGGAGCCATCGCGGGTTGCTCAGAAAAAAAATGCATAAAATTAGAAAAGTTAAAAAACGTTAGTAATTTAGCCAACCAGTGCGGGCTGAAGTCATATACAGCAATCTGCTATGGCTCCAGACCCTACAGGTTAGGTATATTAGTTAAGTTTTTTTTTTTAATTTTATTTATAATATTGGAATAATTATTTGTCTTGCTCATTTCTGACTAAGAGCTAAGTTGATTCACTATAATTATTCCTGGCGTTAATTTTTCTCACTTTATTTTACTTGTGTCTCATTTATTTGTCTCGGCCCAAATTTGTCGTAACAAATTTGTCCCGCACGGAATTCTCTCAAGATAAATGGATTGGGTCCTAAAATTTCAAACATTTACTGCATAGGCGTCGTCGGAAAAGTATTTGTTACGCCTTATTTCAATGAAATTAAAAAAACATCTTGACCTGCACTATTTAGTCCAGCGCTATTTTGACCTTGCGCTATTTTGTCTTGCTGTATTTTGTCTTGCTGTTTTTGTCTTCGCTATTTTACGCCATTTTGTCCTGCGCTGTTTTGTCATGGAGCCAAATTTTAAAATAACTTACACTAATCCTTTGTACAATTGAGCCACAATAAAATACATATTCGCTCCAAAAGAAATGAGAATTATGTTGCCAAGCCTCTTGTTTACCTTCTGACACAATATTGCTGTTTGCGAATAGTCTTCTCTTATTTTGGCCCAATATAAGATAGATTCATGCTACAAAATCATTTTTACCTATAGAAGAGCTACCAATAACATCTAAAAAACTAATTGCTCACCGGCGACAATAGTGACACAACTCAAAAATAAAGGTCATGGAGAAAATCTGTAGTTTAATTTTCATGTTTCAAAGGTCATTTGAACACATTAATGAGCTTGGTTGTGATCACAGTGAGTTTTTGTGTACTAAATTTTTAAAGTATGTTAATTTAATTTCTGTTTTCAAAAAAGGTGGTAAAAGATATGCAAATATTGTTGAATCCAAGTCTCATATTTTATATAAGAATACGACTGTACTGGCACATTTAACTAAATTGATCGGAAATATAAAGTCTATAGTGGCATAATTCAAAATATGCCACTATTGCTTAAACAAAGCACTACCTACTCATGTGTGCCACTATTGCCTACACATGTTTAAAAATATGCAGTTGTTAATGGCATATATGAAAGGAATACAATTTATGATATAGTGACATATACGATATCTCCTTGGGGAGACAATCTTAACTAATTTTATGCCAGTCTTGTTCGATGCAACTTTAACCAATTTCAAGTAGATATCAACTATTTTATAGAAATTTTAATTTTTTGGGATGAGGCACTATTGTCGCCGGTGAGCGAATTGAGAAAATAATAGAGTTATATGTAGAGGCATACGGATTTACCAAAGTAAGTGTTAAGATGCAGGTACTATGTACCAAATAATTATTGATTATTTGTATAAGAAACCGCAACAATTTCCTATTGAAAAAAATATACCGACAAATTGAGAACCTCCTCCTTTTTTGAAGTCGGTTAAAAAAGAGAAAATCGTCGTTTGGAGTAGAAATTATTTAAAGGATATTTTTAAATATAGTCAGGATAGTTAATATATAGTTATATAGTTATGTGGCGCAATGATATTGGTGCCTATTATTTCCCAATTTTAATGTAGCATTATTGTCTTATACCAGAATTAGTTGGTTAGTTTAGGAACAGAAATGATAATATTTCTGTATCTGTAAGGATGCTTGCCTTAGGCCTATTGTGCATCCTCCAAGGGTATATGGGAACTGCCTCCTAGCTCGTCAAAATGCCTGATGGCTGAGAACTGTGACGTATACAACATGGCGTAAGTTGGCAACGTTGAGGTTGGTAATGTTAGGGCAGCAGAGCTGGGCAGTTCTCGAGTAAACTGTACATAAAATCGTACTCGAGTACTCAGTAATTTGTACTCGTAAGTACTTTCATCCTGAAGGAACTCACACTCAAAAAATTTCGAGTACTTTATATTTTATAGTTCTCAGTACCTTTTATTCCTACAGTTGACGAGTAACGAGTACGAGTACCGACGCGCACATATATTATAATGATTACACCTTGGAAAGGTTAAACCATTCCAATATGTCAGAGATTTTAGGGTTATGGCTGCTTTGGCTACCCACAAAAGTTTCAAACAATTACTAAAAATAATACTAATTGATAAATGTTGAATATGAAAAACAAATCTAAATTTTTCGCTTTGCTTCTTTCTTATTACTATCTGTTTTTCTACTTTCTGCTCTAAATCCTGACTTTCTGTAGCTTCAGTTCTCCTGCCTGGCCTCCTCTTACTGTTTTCCTCATGCTGTTTTCCTCTTGCTATTTTCTTCTTACTCTTTTCCTCTACTTTCTCCTCTTACTACTCTTTCTGACTAACTCTCTTTCCCGCTAAGTTCTTCTTTCTATTCCATTCACAGTTATCTTTAATTTAAATAAAAGTTTCTTCATGTTTCTTTATTTTTCTTTTTTTTTTATTTCATCTGTACGATACAAAATGTTCTATATATCTTTCTATCTTAACTTTAATATATTTTATAACATTTTTTTTTATTTTCCCAACTGATAATTATTCCTAAACCCTCTGTTAATCTTCCCAAAATATATCTGACAATTCCATTAATTTTTAAAATCCCACTACTGTTATCGTCACAACTCTAAGGCAATTATGAATAACTTATCGTTGCCAACAATACAGAAAGGAATAGATAAGAATATGTCAAATGACGGAATCATGGCAAAATATGTTTTAAAATATGTGAGTCTTCTATTGAGTATTCTCTATCTGTATATGTGCCCTTACCTAATACCTTTATTACTTTACTTTAAAATTACATTTATAATTTATAGAAGATAAGTGATACTCTCTTGTTTATTACTTATTGACTTACTATTACTAATTATTATAATTCCTTTTTTCTAAACTTAAGTCACTAACTGAAATTATTTAAAATATTTAAGGTACTCATACTCGTTCACTCTCTAAAATTTTCAAAAGCACTCATTTGCTTTGAATATTATTCATATAAGTACTCATACTCAGATACTTATGAGTTCTTTGTAAAGCTACTCATTGTGAAGAACTCATGAGTACTTTAACGCAGTACTCTGCCCAGCTCTGTAGGGCAGATGCCAGGAACGATTAGATCATCAGTCTGTACTTATTGTTCTGTAGCACTTATGCTCCTAGCTCAAAGATCATCGAGATAGAATAAAGTAGAGACGACTAAACACTATTTTGCAAGTGACGAAAAAATGTAATGAAAACGGCGAACTTTGATTTATTTGAAATCAATAATTTTATATTTGAAGACTGACGGAATGAAAATGATTTTGTATGATCAAAATGTAGCTATTTACAAAAAATAATGGCATCACCAAAACTGACTACCTCCACTATTTTGAGTTTGACATATGACGTAAAAATGTAATGCAGGTCACTTTAGCATCGTGTTAGCATCTCCTCTTTATTCCATCTCAATGTCAAAGATTAATGTTTAATATACGGTTCTTCGGTCCTGATTTGTTTGTGTTGAACTGAATAGTAAATGTTAATATCAATGCTTCGACTCACAGTTTAAGCTACCGGCACAGATTCCACCGGTTTATAGGGCGTTACCGAGCTTAAGTGGCAACGTCGTAAATAGGTGATGAAAAGCAGGAAACAAATAGTCGGAAAAGGGCTTAGCCAGTATCGTGGCCGTAAGGCCGTTCTATAAGCGACAGTGCCTACGGAACCCTGTTTCGAAGCCACTTTTTTTGTAAAAAGTAAAAGTATTACATAACGAATTGTGTATTAGACGTAAGAATAAAATGATGTCTTACAAGTATTTTAACATGTTTGTTTCCAATTTGTTCTTCCAAAGTGGCCAATGCCCAGACAGCACACCAAATCCTTTGGATATCTACTGAACATCCCAATATCCACTGAATGTCCAGTCTATGGTGGATATCTATTTTATATCCATAAAATGTAATTTATAGATATGCAAATGTCCATAAATAATAGTAATTATATAGCAAATTATTAAAAAATTACGCCATTGTGCTCGCCATTGTGGCTAATAGTACCGTTCAGATATTTAAAATTAATTTTTTTAAGGTGTATTCAATATCCCATGGACCCACATATATCAAAGTCTTAGCGCGGACGCAAACCATCGTGGATATCTACTAGATGTAATTTTTGATTTTGCTTCCTAAGTATAGATGGCGATACCACTTTCGTATCTACTCATGCTCAACCCGCCATAATTGAGTTGATCGAAAAAGGCAGATTGTTGGAAATATTTTTTATCTCTATTTTCTTTCGACGTTATTCAATAATCATTTGGTTACTTATGAATGTGTATTAAAGATACCTATAAAATATTTTGCTGAATATCTGAATTCTATATCCTGGGATATAGACGGACATTTGGTTGGATATCCATATTTGGATATCCACAAAATATATTCTGTGGATATCTCTGGGATTTCTTGTATTGTCTGGAAGATACTAATTAGATATTTTGCTTAATATCCATAGGATATCTTCTATATTCTGGATATAGACGGACATTTGGATATCCATATTAGATCCACGGAATATTTCTGATATCCTGTGGATATATTGGATATCCACAAAAGATATTCTGTGGATATCTTTGGGATTTGGTGTATTGTCTGGGTGTTTTAGTGTTGAAGATTACCCAGATAGCACAAATAGGTCCATTGGACGTCCATTCGAGATATACAATTTTGGATGTTTGGACGTCCAAAGATGAGTTTTTTCTGGACTTCCGATGTTTAATGGATGTCCAGTGAAGTACACAAATGGCAAACTTTTGACCGTTTATAGGACGTCCAATTCTGGGTTATTAAGACCACATCTCTACTTTTTTTTACACAACCGCAACTCACCACAAACTATTTTATAATATTAATAATTTATTTATTATTTTCGCAACCCGCTAAACACCGTTTATTAATTTTTTTTTATTAAAAATCACTTGACCAGAGCAGGTATCGAACTCACAACACATCCATTGTCTTTCTGGGCATTCAAGCACTAGGCGACCTCGACCAAGAAGCCACTTGAAAAATTCTTACTAGATACGGTTATAATAGAAAAAGATTTCAAACTTCCGCTGATGGAATGAAATGTAATAGTTTTAATTTGTCAATTTTTAATGACCAATTATATTAAAATATATATATATATCGATGGGTATTATCTGGTAGGCTAAATAAATAATGACCTAAGATGGACGTCCACTGTACGTCCAAAAACAGACGTCCTCTGGACATCGATATGCAGCAGCAGTCAAATTAATGATCATAAACGGATGTACACTGGATGTCCGAATACGGATATGAACGTTCTGGCCCTCAAATGGATCTAAAGTGGACGTCCATTGGACTATGTGTGTTGTCAGGGTAATCATTTTCCTTAAAAATTCCAATTTTATCATTTTGCACAGATACATTACAATAACGTAGCCGAGAGGTGTCTTTAGATGCCCCCATCATTTACGATAAACAAATTCGTTGAGGCCCTTTGGTGGGCTTCTACCACCAAGATGGTAAATTCAAAATCCACAAGGCCCTACTCTTAACCCTTATAAGTTATTTTAAGACTATTACCTTTTTATTGATTCCTGTTTTTAATTGAACGTTGATCTGCTTGAATCTATACGCCACAGCATAACTCATTATCATAATAAAAGTGTCTATGAAGCACCAATAAAACACATTACACGTGTTAATGTACTAAAAAAAATTAAATATATTTTCTTGGAGGTATGTTTAAATTAAAAGCAAATATTACTGCATAAATAATACAACATGCAAATAGGTCCTGTAGAAATTAAAAAAGAAAAGAAACAGAACAAAAAAAATAAAGAAAATCATTCAATTGTGCGTGTATGTGACAAATAGATTTTTACTGGTGTATACTAACAAATATCAGAAGGGCTAGCGGTAAAGAATACTCGGTATATTCAAAAATATAAGGAAATTCTTCTCTAAAATATTGCTCTAATTTAGTTCTGTTCATTTTAAAAACTTCCTCTTCATCTATGTTCAAGTAAGTGTTGGCAATAGCTAGAGAATGCTCAACTAAAAAAAATATTATAACCAATATCATCAAAATATACGTTTTGTACTAATGGTTCTTTTTTTATCATGACTATTTCTTTAAATCTGTTAAACTTGTTGAGTTTATTTTTCTTTATTTTGTAAAAAAAGACACAAATTACCCGCCTATTAAAAAATACTGACAATGAGAATTTTGTAAGTTGTCATAAAATAACGTCGAAAATATAATATATTGCACAGTATTTGGAGTTATTTCTTAGCAATTATTTCTCGTCAAAATTTTATATTATAATAGGTACTTACGAAACATAGCAGTGCTTAAAACGAAAAGTATCATTATAAATCGTTGTTTCAAGTTACGTTGGTATGGGTAATTTTTTAACAACGTCTCAGTTTTACAAAAAACAGACAACAGCTTTGGCCAATCCATAGCCAAACGGAAAAATACTAATAGTACTACCAAGGCGTTCAGACAGAAAATAAAACTATCTGAAAAATAAAAAATAAATATAAAAACAAGAATTAATAAATATTTCTAAGAGCTGTAAATATATTTACCAGCCGATAACAAAAAATGTCAAAAGGCATAGCAAAAAAACAAAGATCTGTAGTCGACATTTGTGTCTAGTCATGCCTTTCGTATTTGTATTGATTAATATTTTAAAACAATTTAATGTGATTGGTTCGCATAGTTCGTGCGCTGTAGAACTAAACATAAACACGATATACCTAATGACCTAACTACGCATTCTTACTTGAAATCAATAATTACACAGGTTTATAAAAAAAGTCCGGACTATTTGACCAGACCATGATATTCCTAGGTATTTTGGCGTCCTGAATCCAATCCCGGGGTCAGTTTTGCCCCGTCATAAAAAACCAGATTTCAAGGTCATTTAGAGGTCAAAATGGTGATTTTTTGGAACTGGCTCCGGCACAATTTCTCAAGCGATCTGTTAAGTTGAGGGGTAATTGTGTAGGTCTTGAATATCCTCCAAACATTGGAAACGGTCCCCAAACCTCGACCAGGACCATCGCAGGGCCAGCCATGTGGACAAAATGTCATGATCGTTGTATCTCCCTTCCAAGGTGTTCAATTTCGGCGATCCATTTGCTGTGAGATAGTGCCAGTGGATCCAGTACTGACCCAAATGGTCCTGGAACCTTGCCAGAACATTGGAGTTATGCTCAAGTGGTTCGAAGTATTCGAGCTCGTGAATTTTGCTTCCCTTGCCATCACGTAGAATTTTGGTGATTGAGTTATCGTCAGTTAATGCCAGTACTTCTCAAAGTGTTCCTAGAACATCGTCCAAAAATTGGGTGAAGCTGAGTATATTGTCCGGGCAAACTAAGGTTGCAGAAAGTGGCCCGAGGATCACAACCCGCAACTTCAGAGTTTGCCACCTTTGTACTGCTGAGGCAGGCCATTGGAATTCAATCCCTCTGATAAGACGTCACATTCCACAAAGTGAATTGGTGTGGCTATCATACAGTATTTGCGACTATGACTTAGAGTCTGCTGATAAACTCAGTTTTGCTATTAGCATTACCCAGGAACAACGACGGGGACGTTGCAGATACTGTTCCCTTCGGGGTGCTTGTTTATAGTGAGTCCCCTCGCCTCTCAATTTTTTCACTCCCAATTTTCCAATCTTTGCGTGCTTGTTTATGGTGTATGCAGGTTTGATCAAAATTCCTTCTAAGCACCTTTCTCTTATGACCCTTGTTGCTATCCCTCTTCAAGTTCCAACAGTAATCTACCAACATGTTAATGTCCCAGAAACCTTGGTAGCATCTTTTCATCTCTTTAATATCTTGGTGGAATCTTTCACCTTGTTCTTCGCTAAAATATCCGAGGTTTTCTGAGAAATGTCCCAGGTGCAAATCCAAGAAGTGGACCTTCAAGGTCATCAAACATCCAATGGCTTTATAGTTTCAATGGCTGACTCAACCTAACCTAACTTCACTATCGTCGCGGAGTCTTGTCGCTGGGAATTTCGGGAGTGGGATTCCTGACAGTGGTCCATTGAACGTATTTCCGTTGTCGAGAATTCTACACCTTGAGTCAGCTCTGGCAGGAGAAGCAGCTGATTGATTCGACGTTCTGGCAAGGTTCTATAGGTTCTCAGATCAGTGCTGAGTGGACCGTCGTTCGACCAAAGCAAATTTATCGTCAAATTCTCGGTTCTTGGCTGGAACTTGAAATTCGTAACTTAGTAATTACGGGGCTACTTCCTACCCACTGGGTCGGACCTAGGCAGCACACGTAGCATGAGACAAACATTTTGGCAAAATTCTGGGTCATTAAGGTTAATGCTGGGTGGACGGTCATGAACTCACAGTAAATACATCGTCGCAATCGACGCTTGGCAGTGGAATAGAAAGTCGCCAGTTAGTAACCCCCCTGAGCCAGTTCTCCACCTTGGGCCAGACCTGAGCGGGACACGAAGCATAACTCCAATGTTCTGGCAAGGTTCTAGGACCATTTAGGCCAGTGCTAGATCCACTGGCATTATCTCACAACAAATGGATCGCCGAAATTGAACACCTGCAGGGAGATTGAAATTCGCGAGATACAACTATCATGGTAACATTTTATCCACTGGGCTCTCCCTACGCTGATCCTGGTCTAGATTCATGGCCCCTGTCCAATGTTTGGAAGGTATTCACGACCTAGACAGTTACCCCTCAACTTAACAGATCGCTTGAGAAATTGTCTCGGGGCCGGTTCCGAAAAAGCAGCATTTTAACCTCTAAATGACCTTGAAATCTGGGTTTTCTGACGTGATGGGCAAAACTGACTCCGGGATCGGATTCAGGACGCCAAAATACCTAGGAATACCATGGTCCGGTCAAATAGTCCGGACTTTTTTTTTAAACCTGTGTTATTTAGGATTTAATTATAGGGCGAGGGTTATAGAGAAAATTTAAAAGAATTATAATATAAAGATTGCACAATTTCATATTAATGGTACAGATAAATGTATTACTTAAGTGAAGATAGTGATAGACTGGATATGCAAAAAGAAATATTAGAAGAACTAGAATCAAAAAAAAATTATTGTTAATTAGTTTACTATTTGTAGTGGCGGATCGTCGTTAAATACATTGGTGTTCTGCAAGGTTCTGTCTCCCACTCCCAAAAAAATATATTATTTTACAGATTTTATTCACCTACTTTTTATACATTAATTCTATTCTGCGGTTCTTTTCAGCTGCAAACTTATACTCTTACGCGTATTAAAATCTCTTTTTATTTATTAATAACCTATATCCATGTCTTTTATGTACAATTGAAACGCGCGCTGGCGAGTTAACATAAACTAATAATCTGCAAAATCGAAATTGAATCACATCACATATGCTACAGACTATAAACAAAGCCCATCGATCTGGCAAAGATGCAACCCAAACACTACTTGTGTTGAAAGTACTTGTTTTCCTTCTTTTTTCGAGTACAACTGCCTTATGCTCTGATTATTGCCTTTCATTCTCTCCATTTTGAGTTAATTCCTTTAGCTGTGCTCTTTGCAATGCCCAGGAATGGATTTAGTCCTATGAACTCAGATTCAGTTCCTCTTTTAGCGAGCGTATCAGCTTTTACATCATGCTCCACATCGCTGTGTTCCGGAACCCAGATCAAAGTAAAATATTTTTATAGTCTTGTTTGCGGGGAGAACATTAATCAACTCTCTCGCTCCCAATTCTATAGCAATCATTTATGTTTGGAAGATCGTGGCCAGAGAGCCTATGTTTATTGATATATCAACTCTTGGCTTCTGGCTGAAAACTCCTGCTCCTACTTCTTTTTCAGTTTTAGAGCCGTCCGTTTACAGCGTATAGTCCACCTGGGAGAGGGTTTTATTCCCTCTGCTCCATATGTCCCTTTTTGGAATGAGGACGCTTTATGACTTTTCTATGTGCTGTCGGGAACTAGCGCGTCTGAGACCATGCCGAGAATGTAGTGGATATTATTCTCACTCATCAGCCCCGTCTTATCCGATCGCAGTTCTTTATTGCATTGACTACTCACCTTCAGAAGTCTATAATAGACCACCCTGGCCTTCTGCTTCAGCAAAATGTGGAGAGAGGTTAGGTCCAGCATGGTTTTCATCGCTTCCGTCGATGTGAGTGACATTGCACCAGTTATGGCGAGGCACGCAAGCCGCTGGATTCCAGCCAGTTTTGCTCTAACCGTCCGTTGAAGTCCCTTGTCCCACTAGACGACGGAGCCGTACGTAACCATGGGTGTTACCACTGGTTGTTAAATCCAGTAGACCAGGTGAACACTGATCCCTATGCTTTTCTTCATATCCTTCTGAGGGTCCAGAGAGATAATCTGTTTTTTTTGGTTTTTTTCCAATTGGGGGCTTCATGTGAATTTCTTATCTAGACTAATCCCTAGATATTTTATCTTCTCCGCGAGCGCCTATATCAAAACTGAACTTTGCAACAGGGGTGAAGTAAACAGGTCTGACCTTTGATAGCAAGTTAACATGGAGCTCAAACCTAAAAAACAGTCAAAAAAGCATACATTGCTTATGAACAATGCTACCGCAGCAAGGTGCGCACCTGGGGTCTCTCCCACAAAGTCATCATATGGGCTTACACAGCCATAATAAGACCTATACTAACATACGGTTTAGTTGTCTAGGTACCAAAAACTATCCACAAATAAATAAATATCCACAATAAATACAAAGAACAGAATGTCTCAACATAACAGGAGCCATGAAAACCACACCAACCATGGATGTAAATTTAGTCTCTTTTCCACTTGATATATATATTTAGGTAGGTTGCTTTGATGATAATAATATGACTTCGCACGGTTGGTTTAGAACCTGACATGGGATCTGATGAGGAAACACGTTGCTTTTTAGCTTAATAGGCTTCCATTACTTCAAGCGAGCATGGACTCTATATCACCAAGATATATTTTTCATTAGTCATATAAAGTTATAATGAGAAATAGTATTGGAAGGTACGAATCCTATCTACATCGACGATTTGGCGGCATTTATGACAGGTTTGAAGACACTCCATATAAAATGAACCATTTCTATCTTCTCTATTCCGTAACTTGGTACCTTATAATAGTAGGGGAGCCCAAGCGGGGATTTTGGGATATATTCAAGCGCGGCAGAATAATATAAGGGGAGAAACCTTACACCCTGTTAAGTACCCCCACCATACATGAACCCTTTCAGGGTCGTGCATTTTGGGTAGCCGATCAGATTAGTAAAAAAAATTGATCGTTAGAAAAAATCGATAGCGTCAGATTAACGCCCGTATGCACCGTACACGTTTAATCCAGATCAAGGGTTTAATCGCGTTTAGTACCATAGATGAATATGGTACTAAACGCGATTAAACCCTTGATCTGGATTAAATGTGTACGGTGCATACGGGCGTAAGGCAAGTTGAGTTAATTACATGCAGAAAAGTGTGCAGTTCAATATTCTGACTAATTGCCTGTGACATAAGGAAATAGTAGAATCACAAAGTTGCAGAAAAGAAAAGTAACCTGGACATTCTCCAGCGCGGTTAATTTTTTTTTATTTTAAAGGAAATCATTAAAGGATCTCGGGAATAATATAATCTGCCGAAGTAGTTAAAATCATCAATAAAGTGTGGTGCGTGCAGCTGCTAAGAAATATGTCTTTTGAACTCTGCGTCTCTCTTCCCTTCTCGCTCTTTCTCTATGTCTCACTCTGTTGCACCGTCCCCATACTCAATGATACTTAACTTCTCCATTAGGATTGGCCAACCACATATAGTATGTACATTTTACTGTATTACGTCATAGTCGGACTAGATATTTATAAATCCCTGTGTTGTTTATACGTTTGTACATAGTTTTTAATGTTTATTGGATTGTTTTTGTAACTTTTTAATAGACTGGAATTTTTTATAAAGAGTATTTTGTTAAATCAACTTAGTTTTATTATAGGTTAGTTCTACAGTGGCAAGAATGATTGTTTTTAACTAATTATAGTGATATTTTTTTAGGGTTTGACTTAGAGTTTTGTTTGTATATTTATTTTTGTATTCAAATATTTTGACTTGTCCTGTACATAAAGGATCAATAAAAAATGATTGTTTTTATTTTGCGATACTGGTATTTTTCGTATACATTGGGAATTTAATGAAGATATAATTGATTGTTTGCAATTATATATGTTCGTAAAAAAATAAAATTAAAAAAATAAATTTTTCAAACCTTCAGATTAAGGAAATTCTTCCACATGTCAGATTATGTGTCAACATGACAAGGACCTGATGTCCTGAACCGTCTGTATATTAATCTGACGCTCTCGAGTATTTCAATGTCACGATTTTTGTTTGCAGTTTCAAAAATCGGCCATGAGTTTTGGTCTCATCCAAATCGTCAGTATTTTGAATAGGAGCTCCTTCTGAATATCTGACCCGCTCGAATATTTTTTTTTTCTATTTTCAACCCCTTTGTACGGCCACCCCCACCATGCAAACCGGCAGATTAATATTCCTCCGTTATCCGTAACACGTAGGGCGCATACACTATTAATATCTGAAGCCCCTAAGTATTTTATTGTTACTATTTTTTTTACATTTTTGAAAATCTGTACACGCTCCCCCCACCACTGAAAGGGCATACATCATTAAAACTTTTTTTCTTTCTAGCATCTAATCTTCATAATCTAAAAGGTCCACACGATGCTCGAGTAAATCCCCATTTAGCCTCTTGGGCTTCCTTACCATGAGTTATTAATTTTAACAATTTTGAAATTATTCCTAACCTACCTAAATTATGATTATTTTATTTAGGGACTGCACTATTCTCAAATTTTGCAAAAAATTAATTGCTTGGTGGTCCTGTATCATTGTGTTTTTTTCATTACCTCACAATAATTATTTATTACTTAATGTATTAACTTCATCAAACTACTCTTTTAGTTCATTAGGTGAGTAAATATCAAAATAGGCGCTAAAAGAAATAATAGTAGGTATACTTGGCCTATTGACTGCTCCTATACTAATATTAAAGTCAAACTCTCATGAGCTCTAACACAATAGATTTATTCACTATACTCTTACCTAGAAGATGTAATTTGAAGTCACTTAGACACATCCTTATAAAACTCAAAATAGTTAATCCTAGGGTACCCAATATAGAGAAAATTGCATAAAACGTAAAAGGCGATAGCCATTTAAAACACACCGTATTATATTTTAAGTTTAACACGTTAGTTACGGGAAAAATTCCAAACATTTGTGCTGTCCTTATTACGTACTTTATCTCACTGTGAAGAGTGTTATTATTGATGTACAAACTTGCTTCCATCTCTAAAACAAATGAAAAACATAAAGATAATACAAACATACTAAAAATTTGTAAATGAGCCATTATGTATTAATATTACCTTCATAAATAGACTTAAGAGCATCCAATTTGTTTTTGTTACTCATTTTCGATAATGTTCGTAACTTCTAATCTGATTCAAATCTTAAACTAGTAGGACAAATCGAAAAATTTGACTTTTAGAAACAATATTTATATCCTATATTACTCAAATCTCAAATATATATATATTTTTTGTTCACTTTCGACAACTAAATTAGAGAGAAGAGTTAATTTTTGCTTTCTTGGATAATCAAGTTCCTAATGTAGGTTTCTTATGAATTTTGTCATTTATATTTGTAGACAAATTCTTTTATAAACCAAAAAAATACGTTTTTAATAACTAGGAACACTTAGAATAATATAAAGTTGGCGATGAACTGATAAAATGTCTTCTAAATTCAATTAAAATAATGACTTTGGACTGATAATGATAAATTATTGACATCAAAGAAGTTATTACTATATAGTGTGTCCCAGATTCATTTCTCTATACAGGGATCTCGGCTACTATTATAAATATAGTAAAGGTTAAATATGAAAAGTTTTAGAGGAAACTTAGTGCATTTGATAACTGACTTTCGATTTAAGATCGGTCAGTTGGTTATGAAAATATCAACCACAAACCGAAAATGACGTGTCGCCGTGTCGGTTTTCGCCTGTAAATCCGAAACGAATAATGTGACAGCTGTCAAAATGTGACATTAATCGGACACTTTTTAACACGAATAAGATAGCGTGTATGACATGTTTCAATCGTCTTTTGTTATCCCGCAATCCGCCTCAACTTTCATTTTTGGCTGCCATATTGGATTTTTCGATTTTTGGAAAGACCGAAAAATTTCTAGTCTTGTGATGTCTCACAAGTGCCTAAAAGATTTGAGTATCATTGAAATATCAAACTTCGTAAAGTAAGGTCTCATTTTATTTAAGAAGGTCATGATTTAATTGTCAGAATATAGGGTTTTTATAAGTAGCCCATTGTTTCCATCTAAGGAGGCTCTGACTTTGACGTTAAATAATTCAAACTATCAAAGTTGTGTTTTAATAAGTAATACGTTTTCTCTGATTAAAATCATAAATATGTCACACAAATTATCAAAACCTGTGGAAAATGGCCGGTATTACCTATTCAAATGAAAAAAAGTTTGACATGTTTGCGTTGTAGTTGCAGTCACGCAGAAACGCCGACATTATCTTAGCAAGGTATTTGGAGATGTATCCGGAACGACGGCAGCCTCATAAAACCCAATTTGGAAAAATCGTACTTAATTTAATTAACCATGGGGCCTTTGAACAACCTTGAAGCGGATCAATGAAAACCCTAGTTCATCAGTATGAACTGTAGAACTGGAAATTGGTGTCAAAATCGGTACAGAGAGTATTAAATAATAATAAGTACTATCCATACAAACCCACAATAGTTCAAGGACTGAAGGAAATTAATTTTATTCTACGCATGCGCTTCTGTGGGTGGTACAATAGGAAGTGTAATGAAAATACCGATTTTGTAAATCATGTCTTGTGGTCCGATGAGAGTAGGTTTACGAATTGTGGAGTTTTTAATAAGCACAACACTCATTATTGGGCTGTAGAAAACCTTCACGAAGTGGCAGAGAGACGTCTACAGACCAGATTTGGAAGTGACGTTTGGTGTAGAATAATTGTTAATTTAATCTAACTTATCTTTCTTAATTGGGCACCTATTATAAATTATTAATCATTTCAGGAAATCCACTTATAGGACCATTTTTGCTTGATTATAACCTAAACGAATAAAGATACCTAGAGCTTCTGCAAAAACAGGTTGTGCTGGATTTACGAGCTACTCTAACGGAAGATAAGTTTAGAAGAACCTGATTTCAACAGGATGATTGCCCGGCTCACACCACCATTTAAGTCAGGAATTTCTTAAGATAGCACTTTGACGAAAGAGTCATTTCATTAAATGGTCCAATATCTTGGCCTCCTAGATCTCCTAACCTTTCGCCTTTAGATTTCTACTTCTGACCTCACGCAAAGAATGAGGTCTATTAATCCTCCCGCGACCATAGAAATCTTAAGAAAAAGTGTTTTGGACACATTTAGAAATATTAATGGAAATACACTTGCTAGGATTATACGCAAAATAGTCACTAATTGTAAAAAATGTTTTGATACAAATGGACGTCATTTTGCAAATCTGTAAATTAACATACCGTTACGAAGCAGTTAAGAACATAATTAGATTTTACATTACATTACAACTTGTAAAATGTTTCTGTGGCGATTTTCATTTTCAATTTGTATCTACTTGTAGGTTGTTAAAAAATTTAAGTAGTAATTAAATTAACGAGTTTTCTGATTTGCTTTTTTTAACACATAGTTGAGAATTTGTCCCAAAATATCTGATTTATTTTCTAAAAAATAAATCATGGCCTCCTTAGAAAAAAATGAGACCTAACTTTACGAAGTGTGATATTTCAATGATATTCAAATCTTTTAGGCACTTGTGAGACATTACAAGACTGGAAATTCTTTGGTCTTTCCAAAAATCGAAAAATATAATATAGCAGCCTTAAGAAAAATTAAAATTTAGGCGAATTGCGGGATAACACACTATATTCGCCTTAGAAAAGTGTCAATAATGTCACATTTTGACAGCTGTCAAATTACTCGTTTCGGATTTACAGGCGAAAAACGAAATCCGCCATTTGCGTTTTTTTGCCGATATTTACACAACCAACTCAATGATCGTAAATCTGAAGCAGGTTATCAATTGCAATAAGTTTCCTCTTAAACTTTTCCATTCTAACCTTTGCTGAAGGCATAATAGTAGTCGAGATCCCTATATAGAGAACCGAATCTGAGACATACTGTATATTTATCAATTTATCAATTCGATACTTTAATAATTACAAAATCTCGTATCTACATTTTCTTAATTGTTTTTTTGGCGTACACGACAGTCAAGATCAAACAGGTAGGAAAAGAAGCCTCAGTTGGAAAACAATAATTTGAGGCTATCTAGTTGTTGCTACAATGGATCACTCCCAATAAAGAAAGAATTGTTTAGCCTTATCAAGGAGAAACTCGTTGATGAAGATTGCAACGATTTTTACTATAATCTGCAGACGTCATAAGAGGCACCTGAGCTTCTAAAAAAAGACCAAAAAGGTCTAAAAAGGGCCTTTAGATAATCCCTTTTTAGCATATTTTTTTGAATAAAAGGCTCATAACTTGTAAGAATTTTCATCTCGGGAGGGAAGGGGGGTGGGGGTTTGGCCTCCATAGCTGCTCTTGGTTTAAGCCGGAATAATAGACAAAAGGGTTAATGGAACCTTATCAAGCTCTTGATATTTTACAATTTTTACAAGACTACTTGCTCTCCGAACTAAATCGATTGTTCAAAAAAAAAAAAAAAATGATTTGTGATCTCAGCAAGATGGTATGCCTCCACACTATGATGTATTGGTAAGAAACAACTTGGATAATGTCTTTCAAGATCAATGTACAGGGTAAAGATGATCAATTTTTTAAACAAAGAATCAAACTTACCTTTTTTAAACCGAAACCAACTCACTTTCAAAATCATCAAACGAGACATTTTGAAAAATAAAAACTAAAATTCGAACCAATAAAACGTTTTTACTGCTAACGTTTTACAATCACTAATGACCATTAACTTCTTAATTTCAGGTTTTTTATTTGGGAAGGCTGATTTTCATTAGAGCTACAAATGAAAAGTCATTAAATGCATGCACAAAAAATTAATGGAATATTTATGTTATAATGTTATAAACTATAAAATATGATTAGTTATTTTTTTGTCTAAATATTACACCGGTTGTGAAAATATATTTTATAAATTAGGTTCATTTTAATTTAGGTAGCAGAATCAAATTTTATTATTATTAGTTACCTTTTTGTATGTTTTTGTGGTTCCACCAAATAAAAGTAATTTCGGGAGCAAAAACATTTGGGAATCGCTGATTTATACTACTCATCATCTTAATAGTAGTTTAAAAACAAAGTATCTGATATTAGCTGAATATTACGAGGCTTATAGAATTACTAATAAAATTAGCTTCTATATGATATGTAATAGATCTTTTCATCACAATTTTTTTTGTGCGAATGCTTCAGTATCAGCCATCAGCCATTAAAATGCCTACGTGAAAAAAATTATAATCGATGAATATTAATTTAAGTAATTCATTTAAAAAAAGGAAGAAAAAATAAAGCAATAAGTGTCTTAATTGAGAAATACATTTTTGCAAACAATTATAATTATGATATCTGTAGTAAAAGGATCAACGAAACGGTGTTGTTATGGAGTATGTAAAAGTGACACACGGTATAAATCACTCAAAGGCAATATACTATTGTATAAATTTTCCAAAGCCTTTGTATCGTAAAAAAATTATCAAATCATCAGGCAAAATACATATACAAACATGTTTAAAATATGCAATGAGGGTGAAAAAATGTGGTCGAAGTGACAAAGGTTTTCGATTGATTGATGTTGTTACTAAATATATTTGTTCATTACATTTTCATGGAAAAAGTGGTCCAACAGAAGAAAATTCTTATCTGGTATTACACAATATTATTTTATTATTATATACTACCTCAATATACACAGTCAAATGATTAAAAATATCATGTTGATCCACAAAATATTAAATACTTTATTTTATTAATTATACTAGTGATTAACTTTCATGTTAATTAAAATGTTTTTGCAAGTACTAATAGTTGGTTGGCATAATTAATTATGAAGGAAATATAATTATTATTTGTTTCCATTAATTTTTTACATATATGTAAATAATTATTGATACCCAACCTCTCAATCAGCACACTTTTTTCGCTCTATTTTGCGGACGTCC